AAGAGAGAGAGAGAGAGAGAGAGTGTGAATGTTACAACTTTACAAATGAATTTTTAAAAATCCCCTCTGCAACAGACAATCTTGCGTTTACAGTGACTGTTGTTAAGCAAAGTTTCATTTCCAGAAAAACCAAGCTCGCCTCCCAGTCTATTCCACTGATTACTTTAAACAAACCTGATGCAAGCCAACAAACTTTGCTGGGCTACAACAATTTCATTTCTATAACATTCCACACAAAAAAATATAAAGACTTGCAGAATACAAACCTTGTGAAGTTGATAAATATGGGCATAACACTGGAGAAGTAGCAGTTTTCAATGCTTGTTTGAAGCCTCTCCAACTCTGCTACATTTCTTTGGTCAGGATGACGACCACCCTGAAAAAAAACACGAAAAACATCACTCTATGCATGCATCTCAAGTCTGCAATTACATATTCCATCTCTTTCTTAACTATATTCTTTCTCTATAAAATTTAACTTACATATTTGAGGTGTATACCTTTATAAAAAGCTAAATTCAGAGAAAACTCAGTTAACAAAAGCTTATAACACAGAACATTTGTATACTAAACACAATGTGCACTAACCCATTTAATGAAGTTTTCCACCACGGTTAATTTCTTCTTCTCACACCATGACCTCAACACCGGTAAAACCTGAAGGGAGAAAAAAGTCAGCAATATCATTATAATCATGAGAGTTGAAGTTAAAATATTAGGAGGAAACAATTTTTTTTTTTTAATAGCTTTAAAAAAAATTCTCATTTGGTTCTAATGAGTAAGCCAAAAATATTTTAAGGAAAGAAAGTGAATATGTACTTCTAAGTATGTCTTCAGTTACCTACTGAGGATTCACAAACGAATCACAAAAATAACATAACATACATAAAATTGCAAATAAAGCAAACAATTATAACACAACTGTAAGAGAAGTATGTCCAATGACCAGCCCCTAAACTGACAGGGAAAACAGGAGGTGAATCATGAAGTGCTCTTACAAAGTCGAGATGTATATCCCTACCTCTTTCCGTATCATGTCCCTTTCAGCATAGAACTCGTCATTGTATGAGGTGACAAACAGCTTCACCTGACTCAGCTGAGGTGGAGTCCCCGGTGACTTTTCCAGAGCACAAGCCATGACGCTGTCAGTAAAGGCAAAGGTGAGGGGTTGATTTAGAGATTTGATTTTGAGAAAAGAAAACTCCAAGTGCGTTGACAGGACAATGGTCAATTAACAGTGAGAAAAAGTAAGATAGATAAGAGACAAACAGACAGAAACAAATGAGGAAAAAAAAAAGAAGCACATCCGCCACAGATGAGAAATCAGAAAAGAAAAAACATAATCAATCAAAAGTGGACCCCCCCCCAAAAAAAAAGGAAAACAAAAAAAGCAAAACAAGGGTTATGCAAAATGTGCTGTGTTCATGCTTGATTCATATACACCTGCTTTAGATTCTGATTTAAATGTCAGCCTATTCAAAGTTTGAAAATATTTTATACCTTATGCGCCAATGCAAGAAAACATGAAAATCGTGACTGAAAGAAAGAAATTGTTACTTAAGTACGGCTAGCCACTTCGTTATAGGAAACTGACCACTAAATCTAGGGCCACTCTTGTGTCCCTCGGGATCCAAAACTGTGTGCGGTAAAGCACAAACTCACCCTGTGTCATGAAGGGGTTAATAAAAGGCTTGAAACTGAAAGCACCATATGTAGCGGTCTTGCAGCCTTTTATGTCATTATTATTATAACACTTCTTTGGCATTCGTATCTAAAAGACAGTAGATCTAGATCTAGTCTTCTACTTCTAAACAAGCGGACAGCTAGAGAACGACAACTAAAAATGCCATTTCCCGATATTTATAGTAACAGCCATCTTGTTTGACGTCATTGAGGGATTTAAAGTTTGTCAGTCATACTGGCAATACGACCGCACAACAGCAGCCTGCCGACTTGGATTATTTTCTTCACAACTTGCAGAATTGTTCGGTTTGGTTGTCTGTGATTGTGCAGCACTCTTCTTCTGCCCAGATTGATTCTGATGCTGTACACTACGTAAACTGAGAAGAAGAAAAAGACTGCAGTCTAAGAATAGGCCTACATACAAAAGAAAGTTCAAGGAAAGTTCAACAACGCAGTGCAAATGATCGACCGTTTCGATCCGGATTGTTTCTTTTAAAGTTTTGTAAGCACAAGAAATTAAGCACTTACAAAAGACTGAACTCAATAGGACGCGGAGCTACAAATGGAGTATCTAATTCGAGACTGCAAGGTTTGCAAATGGATACTGAGAGGTGCAAAAGCAATATTATACTAGGACTAGGGGGGAACCACTAGGAAAGACTCAAAGAAGGAAGCTTGTGGAAACTGCCAGTGCACTGTGCAAACCGCGCGCTACGCAAAATCATCACTAGGCCTATAGATAGAATCACAATCAGATGACGCAGCGGGCATCCCCCTTGCGAGGTCAAACAAGCTGGCTGTTACTATAAATATCAGCCCATGGCGTTTAGTTTCATTCTCTAGCTATCCAGTAGTGACATCTAAATATAAATCAAGCCTCTGGCTCATGTGTACGGCCCTCTAAAGTATAGATTTAGATTTATAGGGCCTTGATAATCGCTCAGCTGGACCGTGTCACTTTATTGATAGATATCTTGGCCAAGACGATCACAAAGATAGTTCACACCTGTATTTGAGCCAATTAAAAAAGCGTCCTCAAAATTCGGGGGTGTCCTCTTAGAAAAAGTGCAGACTTTGCGATCAGAGTTACCCTGCTTGTGTGAAAAGAAATAGGGAGTGTGTATACAGACCCGGTAACCGGGAACAAAGTCACGAAGTATACAGACCTGGTAGGGGAAATCTTTTGTGATTTCAGAATGTTTCAGTGCCCTCTTGGCTCAGGGCACGCTAGAACTTAGGTTCTTCAAGATCTATGGCCTTCGTCTAGATCTAGACAGACAGACATAAATCATAGATCTAGTTTCGAGGCCTAGATATCTAGATCTAAAGGAAGATTGCAGATGTCTTTTCGATGAACGATAGTTTTTCCTCCGTTTTGGAGTTGGAGGAATCAATAAAACAATTTGAAGAAAAGAATAATGTCATGATTTCAATCTAACAGTCACCCTCTTTATTTCTCTGTCTCTCTCCCCTCTTTTTCTGCCCGCCCCTCTCCCTCTCTCTCTCCTCTATGTATCGCTCACCTTCTCTTTCTCTTTGTTTGTCTCTGTCTTTCTTTCTCCCCCACCTACTTTACCACTCTATCTTTCTCTCATTCCCCCTTGTCCACTGGGGCATGTGATATTTGCTAGAACTTCCACCGGTCTCACACACTCTACCGGGTCTGGGCGCTGAAACTTTCTGAAATCACAAAAGAATTCCCCTACCGGGTCTGTATACTTCGTGATTTGCTCCAGGTTACCGGGTCTGTATACTTCGTGACTTGCTCCCGGTTACCGGGTCTGTATACCCTTCGAAATAAATAAAAGTGAAACTAACAAACTCACTGTGCTATTCCTATTCTTCTGCTGTAGAAACGAAAGAGAGCTTCAAAACAAAGACTGCAGCGTCATCTGAACCAATGCGCGGACATCATCTGCTGACACTTTTTTGGCTGAATGAACCCTCTTGTTATGTACGATCTTTGGCCAAGAGACGCTCTACGAGGTCAAGATAACTTGCAAAGTTACTGGTCACTATTTATAACTTTGATCTGTAATTTACAGTTACTACGTCTTTTTCCATAAAAGGAATACTAAAATTTTCCATGGAAAAAAAGGTAATCGCTTCCCCGGTAGCCTGGCTCACGCCCTTTAAAAAGGGCCTGCGCGCTTCCAGGGTAAGTTTTTCCACTTACTTGTAGTGTCCGGTTTGATAGTATGTGCCGCCTACAAAGCCTAGCTTATTAGATCTATGTGGAGTGAAGGGCCGTACACATACATAGCCTCAATGCTGTGCGTACCTACGCATAGCCACTTTCTTTTACTTTGATAAATTAAATCAATCAATAGTCTCGCATTAACATTGACAATGTACCCCAATAACAATAATAAAGGCACAAAGGGTAGTCCATGACTATAGGCTATAACATAGTAGTGTAAACGTGTACTTTTATCTAGATTTTAGATTATGTGGTGTGAGCGAGTGGGGTGGTACATCTAATTGGTAATTGTGAGCATGAATTTTTTCCTCCGGCCTCCGGGAAGAAAATCTGGTATTCAGTGCTTTTGACACTCATACTCACTCACCTTTAACTAGGTGTATCCTTGAGCTGTGTTTTTTTAATGCAGTATACAAAAAAGTATCATTGTGAAGGAAGAAATCGGGCAATTTAGAGAAAACACAAACAAACGGCAGAAAATTCCGTAATAAATGAAGGTTGTTCTGCACCCCTCCAACTGCAGCCTTCGTCAAGAGTCGAGGTTGTAAACTTGATTGATCTATAGGCTAGCAGCAGAAGCAGTTAAGAATTGTTTTGTTTGTAGCCTGATCCAATCGTCGGCTCAGCGTTCGCCGATAAGCAGTTGTAGGCCTTGTTGTATGAAAACTATCACCGACAAAGCGTTTAGTTTGCGAATCTGTGCAGCCTTCGAGAGTTTCAGGTTATTGTGCTTTGCAGAAAAGCGAACAATGTGCTAACGGCTTGAATACTCTCTTGCAAAACATTAATTTGGATATAAAATGGTCAGCTCAAGAAGAAAAGTGGCCGTATAAGACAGGTGACCGTCTTAGGCAGGACTGATCAAGATGAAGAAACCAAACAATTCCCATCTTAGGTCCCAATCGAAAGAAGCCGCATTGTTGTGGTCTTAATTGTTGTTGTTGGTGGTTTGTATTTTGTTTGTAATTTTTATTTTGTTGCTGATTTTGCACAAGGGTGACAATAAAACGAAATGTGTGTATATATATAGTGGAGGAAACGTATATATATATATATATATATATATATATATATATATATATATATATATATATATATATATATATATATATATATATATATATATATATATATATATATATATACGTTTCCTCCACTCTGTTTTTTTTTGGTTGTATTTACGAGTCCCTTTCACAAAATCATCACATGACTTAAATTTTAAAGACCATTGTGTTGAAAAAGTCTAGTGCCCTCTTTTGGCATAGAGTAAAAATTGAGAATTAGTCTTTATTAGTCAAATGTAAGCATATGTGATATTCATTCTCGTCTGTCTTTGAAAATGTAAACTGTAAAAAGACAAAAGAAGAACAAACCCAAAACAAAACAAAAACAAAAAACGAACCCCCCAACCCACCCCACTGCACCCAATTATTTAAAACAAATTTTTTGACATTATATACCTGATCGGTGTACAGTGACACGGGCTTCTCACGGGGCTTTAAATTACAACACCAATAGCTAGAATACAGAAAGAATTATGACATAGTAAAGAAACGATTAAAAGATTATTTTCCTACTGATTTTTAAGCAATGGAAACAATGTCAATATCATACAAATACATAGTACATGTAAAGTATTTGACGTGATTTAATTTTTCCAAGAAAGGACTGCTCCCCCCCCCCTCCCCTGACTATAGACGTTCAACATTGTTTTTATTTTTAACACTTTGTGGGAATATGATATCACAGTTGAAGACAAACGCCTAAGGATGTATAACAACGGTGATTTATAGCTGTTCTTTCTCCCCTGGATAATTTCATCAATTGAGTGGCCCAAAAATCTATTTTAGCCCTTGAATATATGAAGCATGTGTGGGGCGGGGTTGTTCTCATAACATGACTAAGCATAACACATTTTCTATATGTACATGGTGTTTTTCATCTCTGGAAAGTGATTTTTACTTCTGGAATGTAATTATAGGAAATGAGGCGGACATTCAGGCAGATGCATTTTGTATTCATTCCACAGAGGAAGGTATCATCTGTTGAAGTTATAACTGTTATACTTTCAGCCCATTAAATTACTCTTCCCTAATGCCAACCCAACGTAAAAATTGCCATGTATATAAATTACTGTATAGGCCTATAACAATATAGATATATATGCTGAAAATTTCACAAAAGTTACCCAATTAATGCAGATCAAAATTAAAACACTTAAGCACCAAACGAAATTATAACAGACTGATTTTTCCCGGTATGATAATATAATAAAATTATGTAATATCATGTTTTGTGTGTTATTAAATAGCCTTTGCTAAGAATTACATATCCTGATGACCCCAAACCAAATATTAAGCAATATGAACAACAATCTAAGCACATTTAACCTGTGAAATTAACTATTTTTGCGTTTTCTAGCCCTTTAATTTTTTAAATTTAGCTTTTAGACGATCCATATATCAAAGCAAAGAAAAACATCATGTTATGAAGTGGGTTGATTTATATTCAGATTTTAAATTCAAAAGTAATATTTATATTATAGTGCTGCTGTTCTGTATAATCAGATCATAGAAGCACGAGAATCTGATAAACTTATGTTAATTAACAATAATCATATCCTTGCATTGCTGAAAAGATGCCAGAATTCATTGTTATAAAAACTTGTAACATGTACAATATTATTTATCTTAGGCCTAAAACGCCTTTCTTTGACAAACGAAGCGGCGATTGGCCTGCTGGCGAAATGGAGTTTTATATTTCTTTAGCAATGTATGACGTAGTACACAAGTATACCCAAAGATTATTCCAAAATGGCTGCCTCCGGGCAGAGAGCCTTTGCTCAGAAGCTGAGCAAGTAAGTTTGGAATGCATGAATCATCACTGGTCAGAAACGAGCTATGTTTGCTAAATAAACTGAAATACTAGAGGTTTATATCCCTGTGTCGAAACATTACCTCATGGATGTCTTCTTTTTGCTTACGGGGCTCTTGTTTTCCCCCTTCAATTGTGAGGCCACTTCTCTGAAATCTGAGTGTGTCGGGAGTCGGAAGTGATTCTATACTATTCTGGCTATTTTGCTTTCCATTTGTTTTTCGTTGCATTATAAAATATGTTTGCTGAGCGAATAAGATTATATTCAAAACCGGTATGTTGGAAAATATTTTATTCAGCCTCATGCCAAAATTGTTTGGGGCGGGAGGTTGAAATGGTTCTGAAATTGAGCAAAGCAAGGGAGGAGAGATGAAAGTCGATAATAACTTACTTTAAGACTTTAGGTGAGATGCTGCTCACTAGATCTAAAAATCTAGATCTAGGGGGAAGATTGAAGAATACCGGACGACTCGTATATAGGGACCTACAAATTGCGCGAGAATGCGGGGTGCTGGGGTGGAGGAGGGGGGGGGGGGGGTTCAGGGGGGTGGAGACCCCTGACAAATTTTTAGCCTACGTTCTGGTCCGGAATTAGTGTAGCCGCAGGCTCAGCGCACGCGCACCGCACATCACTTTACATGAAATTTGGGTCCCGAGTCGGATCCCCATTCACGCAGGTAAAGTGTGTTCGTCAGTCTGCTTGAGTTTGTGTGCGTATGTGGCCTTCTTCTAGAACCGCCTGCGTTGGTTCGTAATCGAGGCATACGTCTAGCAATGACAATGAAGAATTAAATTTTCATCCAAATTGCTTAAAAATGGGCTCAAATGAAAATAGAGTAAATTCTAAGAACTATGGTTTTTAAATTTTAAAAATCCATTTATAAATAAAAAGTTATTGGGATTTTTGTTTGCAAAATGTTGGAGGACCTTCATATACAGGATATAGGAAAATATAGCCAAAATGTGGGACATGTCTTGATGTATTTGAGGAAAAACTGTTCTTGAAGTCAGTAATGAATTGGAGCATATGAAACTTGGCATCTTCTTGTGATTTTAAGTGCAGAATCTAGTTCTGCTATATCTTTTCGATGTCTTATTACTTTGGATCTTAAAGACTGATATAAGGGTGAAATTTGTTGAATTGAGTGACATCGTTTTTACCGCGACGCGATCACCCCTTCTAAAACTCAATTAAAGCGCTATCGGGAAAACCCGCGATTAAGTCATGGCTGACCTATTTAGTTATAGGCAGCCAATCACATGTCGCCTAGCGATCACGCGCCTCTTGCATACCGACACTTCGCGTTTGGAATGCGTGATCTAGTTTCCAGCTTTAGTGTTTTATCAATGGATGGGTGGTAATTTAAAGTTGGTACGTAAAATCTACTAGACACAGAGATCTGATATTTTACAGCAGTAAAGAAGACATGTGGGGCGCCTGTGTGGTCGGCGATCAACCCGCAGCTCCGCTTAGTTTTCGAACCGCAGAGGAAATTCGCATAAACACAGCAATATCTCCGGTTGTAGAAATCATTCGGGATTGTAAGCTGGCATGTCAGTAGTTTAACCTTTCCTCTGATTGGTTGCCGAGTTTCATTTATTTTCGTCCTCGAGTTTTCCAGTAACTGTACTTACTGATTCCGAGCGGCCTGAAAATTACCCCTCACGCGGAGGCCGATTTCCGGCCGAAGGCGCAGCAGGCGATTGGCATTGCTAATACGTCTCATATTCAAAACACGCCTCATATTCAAAACACGCCAAGTTGGTAGCTCTAGATGTTCGTCTAATGAAATTATAGAAGAAATGGCCCCACTTAGACATGAGGAGCTCGAAAAGATATAGTCAGGAAACAAGACTTCCATTTTCTATACAAAATCTTTCAAATGAGCTTGATTTTGTATGAAATGATACTACCTGATTAAAAAATAAGCTTGTTTGATAGTTTTGAATACCATTGTGCAGGTACAAAGAACAATTTGAGTGCAGACCATTCGGAAATTGCTATATTTTCCCCTTTCGAACCTTAGGTCATTCATAACAACAAGAGCGTCCACAAAAGTTATTCGAATGGGCGTAACTTCTCGTAATGTCGTTTATCAGCTTGTGAGAGGGGGTTGGTCATGTGTTTGTAACACTTTATAAATAGAAAGCTATGAAAGATAGAGCGTTATTTTCATCATCAATTAACGCACCCCCACGGTATTCACGGCGAAGACACACGTTTCCCGGCACCAACAGTACACACTGAGTGACCCCGGCAGTCTGCCCGGTGCGTCCGACGGTCCTATGATACCCGAAACGAAATAAAAAGTGCACAAACGAAAAAAACCCAGGTGAGAATACTATGCTGTCGTTTTTCTCACCCTGGTTGAGAATAGTATCCATTTTATTCTCACCGCGCGTGAGAAGAGAATAATCACATACTTCCTCAGTGGGGAGGGAGAGGGTGAAGAAAGCTCCAACGCATAAATATTGATGCGCTGAACACGAATATCAACTTCATTTCCGTCTCAAATTAATAGTTTATGAAATATCTGATTGTTCTTTTTTGAGATAGACGTGCTTTGGACCTATCGGGGGGTTCCAGGGGGTTCCAGGGGGCAAGGGTAAAAGAAAATCTGGGGGGTTACAGGGGGGGGGGGCATGCTCCCCTTTTTTAACCCATACTTTTGATATTTTACCATTAGATTTGAAATTTTAAAAAATATAATTGATTTGTGACAGTTTTAGTGCCTTTATTATGTGTGACCTGCAGCAAACAGTACTGCAGTTTGACCCCCGAAGCAGTGCATCTGGTCACACCTCAATTATGTGTGACGAAATGACTTCGCTTATACACCTCTCCAAAATTGTTATGCTAGTAGAGTTTTGGAGGATCAGCCTAAAGCTTTTTTTGAAGTTATATAAATTATTAATGTAAATTAAATCTTCGTCTTAACTGTTCCATAGTTGAACAATTGATTGTTTAAATAAGGCAAAATCGTCTGGTAAGAGTTAATTAAGGCTTTATGTTTGAAAGTAAGGGTCTAGCTTTTAGCAAAATCGCAGTACCATACATTGCTGCTAATTTATTTTTAGCAACTAATAGTATGGTCTTGCCAATCGCACCTTTCATCAATAATGCCTAAAAACTTTGTCAATACATTTTTATGAACAGTGTAGCTGATCAGGTAGGCACAGCGACTCGCACAACCGTCGCCCCCGTCCTTCCACACACAGCCCTTACCCTCCCCCAAAAATCGTGATTTGCGATTACCATGACAATGCACTTTTGATGTTTGCAAGTGGCTATGAAATGACTGTCTCCATTTAACCTTGTGGATTTGGGGTGTGACGAGATGACCCTGACGTCTTGACTTCACCGGTGTGACGAAATGACTGGTATTCTGAGGGAAGGGGGGGGGGGGGGGGTGTTCCCCTGCATTTTCTGGTTACAATTTGATGCTTTGTAATGGATAGGATGTTTGAAAACTTGGTTTACACAAAACTATGGTTGTACTGAAATAGGGTAATCGCAATAGCGGAAGTTAGGGATGGACCTCTATCGCACGTATATATAAAAGAAAAAATCATTTTAAGAAATAGGGACCTCATGCTTCAAAGTGTAGATGAAGTTTTATTGCTTCAAAATTGCACCACGTCACTCCAGTGTTCAACTGCTTTGAGTTTGATATTTTAACAACATAATAAGCATTATTTTTGTAGAATGGGACTTCTTGCTTGTAGGCTTTGTCACAAACTATGAAACAGTATTGGTTGTGTTATTACTGGCGTCGATGGCCTAGTGGTTAGGCTCTCGGACTCGCAACCGTAAGGTCGTGGGTTCGAATCCCGTCAGTGGCCCAACGTTGTGTCTGCAGCTTGCACTGTATGTTTCCTCGGAAGCTGAGAATGTTTCTGAGTTTTCTCAGAGGGTCTGCTGGGGTAGTGATAGTTGTAAAGCGCATAGAGCATGCTCTTGAGCATGGATATGCGCTATATAAATGCAATTATCATTAAGTTATTATTATTTTCTTTCAGGCAAGGAGCAGCAGAGGTGAGGCGACAAGTGTCCTCTTCAGTCTGTTCAAGTCAAGATTTAAGCAGAAGTGCAAGTGTCCAGTCTATTTCTATTCACTCTCAACCTACTCAGGTAATGACAGAACCTCACACACCTATTTCTATTATTGTCAGTGCATGTTGTTAATGACGAAAGACTTTCAATATTCCCATTAATTTGGTGGAAGAAAAAGCCTCACAGCAACTGGGGAGTGATGTCTTTTTTCATGTTGTGTCTTATAAACTGTCGTTGGCAATGAATCAAAATAGAAATGAATGTGAAAGATGTTTGTACTTTCATGACCTCATCTGTAGCGACCAGTAACAGAATTTACGTGTGTATAGTTGTATCTTTTTACTTATTACAGTAGAGGCAAATCTATGAGCTGCAGCTCGTGCCTTGAGAAGGATTTGTCGTATTATATGATCATGATAGTTTTGTGTATCTTAGCCTTAGCAGTGTCTTGGTATGCATTCTAACATATGAGTAAAGCAGCTGTCTAAATCATTAATCTTCATGTCAGTGTCAGTGACATTTATTTGCTATTGCTTCTCTCCTTGCGAATATGTAAAGGGTGAACTATTGGTCAAACTAATGCTTGTCATCCTTTAAACTTTAATATGTTTTTTCTATTTCTGTTTTCTGTCCTCTTCATATATCACTTTCACAAAACATCCTGTTCTTTTGATATGTTTTTTCTGAAAAACGTAGCATATTATTGAAATGAATAACGCCCATCATATAATTTATGGTTCTTTGCTTATTTCCCAATCCATACATTATCTCCAGTTGCTTGATTATGAATTAATTTAGTAAAAAGGGTGAGTATATATAATATTTCTTGCACATTATAACGGTAATTTACTTACTTTTTAAGTCTAGTACATTTTTACCTGATTGTTTTTGTGAGTTGATAGTTTTGATGCCATTATTATCTATCTAGAAATTGTTATTTCATTACTGCTTCCTCCACTCGTTTGAGTCTCAAGTCTCAAGTTGACATTGCCCTCATTTCTGTCCCCTTTTGAGATCAGTAAAGTTTCCAAAATTGACCTCCCAAGTTTTAGGTGTGAGTTGTTAATTGTGGCTTTGACCAACTCTGATTGTAAAGAGAAAATGGTTATTGAAACAGTATAATATAAGAACTAGGGTGCTCCTATAATTATTAAATAATGTCTTTGCCTCCCAGGTGCCTCTAAATGATGCCCCTGAGCCTACAGACTTTGAGGACTATGTCCTTCAGAACCAGTGCATGGTGGAGCGAGATCCACACAAAGATCTTCTGCTGTATCCAGAGGATGATATCCAGGTTCACAAGATGCCTAAGACCCGCCGTACCACACAGCCTAGCTTGCCTGAACCTGGGTTGAGTATTTTATCAATATTCTTCTTTTACATTCTTTGATATAATATGTATGACTTGCAAACATGGAAATGGTCTGCTCACACTCTTCATCAACATGGTCACACATTTGTTATTCGTCCCTCCTGAAGTTCACCTTCTTTTGTTCTTAGTGGAATCGAAAGTTAATTCTGATTGCTGACACTGGCTTGGACTCCCTCTTCACACTAGAAATGAAAAATTGAGCTACAGCTTAATGTTAGGGATGTGATCTATTTCTTTATCAAGCATACTATTGGGGAAATTTCTTGACAGAAACAAATGCTACACTTTTTAACCTGAGGGGTTGAGCAGGAAAAGGGTTAAAATCATTGTCTGAGATTTGATTTTTTTTTCTTTTCTGAATTTGGTGATTTTCACTTTATTCTTATTTGAATTCCTTGTGGAAAAATAATTACATATATGTATATTTATTGGCGCTAATTTGCTTGCATGAAATATGAAATGAGCTTCAAGTATCTTTCTCAGAGAGAATCTTTTTGTATACTTCCTCCAGGGCTGAGGCGGACCCCCATGTCCGAGACTGCGTCAGAAGGTACACATCTGACTACACAGTGGTCACACGAAGGTGAGACTTTTGTTTGTGTGCTATTACTTCTCTGCCTGATGCATTGTCTCTTTGGGTCTGTCCCAAATAACTACGTTCTTGTTGTTTTAATGAGAGTGAGATCGTAGTTAGTTGTTGTCTTTCTGTATTTAGTGACATTTCCATGCTGTGAAATATTTTTGTTTTCAACACAAGTTGATGTTTTGATAAAGAGTTCATTGCCCTAGGATAATTGCTGCACTTTCCTTTGTTTGGTCTTAAAGTGTTTATTATGGTTTGCATTGATTATCAGGTTTTTAAAAAGTTGTTTAAGCAATTAAACATTTATACAATTTCTCAAATTTGTTCTAATGTCATATGGTAATGTTGATGATCCAGTTTAGGTTTTCTGTAAGTGCAAACAGTGTGTTAGAATGAAAATTTATTTCAGTCCTGCAGCATCTTTCTCTTTAATACCGGACCATATTCCAAGTTCCTTTCAATGTTTTGCTTAGGTATCAGCAGTATAGCAGCAGCTGCGTCAGCAAAGAACGATTGTCAGACCATAACATGTTCCAGCATGAGTATGAGATTGATGTGGACGAGTTGCCAGAACAAGACAAGGTTAGTAAGGATTGATCAAAGCTTCATATTTTTAGAATGTCTTTTGACTTTGCTCCCGGAGTGCACATGTATGTTTGAAATGCTTTTGTGTTTACGCAGATGCTCAGTGGGTGGTTGGCAGGTGCTCTGGTGTGGCTTGCTTCTTCTTTCCTGTCAAACATCTATCGTCCTTATCTCCCCTTCTTCTTTTTTGTGTTTGTTACTGTCTTGTAACACCTCTAATCTTCTGGTGCTCATATGACCTTATGCAGTTGCGAGTGCCGTAAAACCTCTACTAAAACTAAAAACTAAGCAGATGCTCATAACTGTCGATCTGCTTTCACCATTGTGTATAAAATTACTTGCATATAATGTTTTATTCTCATTGTGTCTTTAATTTAGTGGAGAGTGTATATGCCTTCCTTTTTCTAAATCTGTAACATTTTAAGTTAGTCATGAGCAAATTATCTTTTTTTTTATAGGACACAAACAAACGTCAGTCAATTCACATGAATGACACACCCCGAGGTAGCTGGGCCAGCTCAATCTTTGACCTCAAGCAGTCCCAGGCAGATACGTTGTTGCCCAATCTGTTTGACCGCATTTCCTATGATGATGTGGACAGAAATAATGAAAATTTACGACAGCAGAACCGCTACGACAACATCTTCAGTTTGTACCCAGTCCAAGATGAGGTGAGAATTTTTTTGTGTGAATAAAGGAATGGGAAGCACATTGACACAATAATGGACATTTAGTGCAGGGGAAAAGCAAGATAAATGGACAGGAACAAGAGAGGGAGAGAAAAAGGGAGTTCTTACTAGGGATATCCTCTAACTACCCACAATCTTTTTGGGAGTTAGCTGTTTTCTCAGGAAGTTATTTGTCCAGAGAAGTAAGGAAGGGTTGAAACTTGAGTATTTCAGAATTCAGTGCTTCCAATTTTCCGCCAATTAGTTTCCTCCAGACCTCATCTTCCGATCCGATGCCCGCAGCCTCTTTGATGGTTCCCCCTTCATGGTTCCGAATTTTTCACTTTCTCCGTTGTAAAAATCTAGATCTAGGCTATGTTGCGTTGCCTTTTGTGAAACTGTGCTGTGACTGTAAAGACAAGCTTAAACTACCTTTCACCGTTGGAAATTCTGATGGCCGAATGGACAGCGTGTCTGTGTTTGAAGTCTACAATATTATTTCATGAGTAGGTTAGAATCCCGGTCCCGGAAGTTTTTGGGGTTTTTTTCACTCACGACTGACCAACAATTTTTTCCCAATAGACCGATCATCATTTGTTGCTATGTAGTTTTTACTGTTTGAAACACTGAGAATTTCTGTTCCTCATGTGAAAAGTTCTAACCCTTTTTTTTCTCTTTATATTTGGTCTCAAGAAATTATCCAGTCAGTTCCTGAAAAACTTGATGTGGATGACTGGTGTTCGAGGTATGAGGCCTATGGGATATTTTTCTTTTGTATCGCCTTTCCGTAAAATATGTTATGAGTTAGCAAGAGACTCATATGATTGTGGAAATTATGTTATCCCAGAAGGCATTGGCCTGTTGTAACGTATACTTTTGATTTTGTATAAATGTAACATCTTCGTCACCAGGAGGAAGTGATAGAGCGCAGAGGTCCAACAGAAGTGCCGAAGGAACATTTTGGTCACAAAATCCTTGTCAAATGTTCTCAACTTAGGTAAGTGGATTTGTTGTGATCCTGCTTCCTAAGAGTCGATCTCTAATAAAACTTTTATCAACTCATTCTATATCATGAGCTGCGTTTTTATGGCTCATGTGACCTATGCTTTACGGCCGAGAGCCACATTTTGTGGCTTCACTAATTCATTTATTATGAAAACAGTCTTGTCTTCAGACTCACACAAACCATTATTTTACATAGTTAGGAAATTATTTTCCTTTCATTTTGATACATTAACACCCCCCCAGGGCAGTGCCACTGACTGTAGTGTCTTTAGGCCATTCCCAAATTGGGGACATTTCTCGTTCAAGCACAGTAGAATTGTATATGGGCTGATTCATCATGTCACACTCATAACTGCCTGATCTGCAACAGGGAACTGCTGCTTTTTTTTTCCTAATCCTTACTATTGTCATTTTTCTCTACTTATTTTGTATGTTTGTCACACTCTTGTGACCTGCTATTTCCGGGGTGCCTTGATAGTGGAAGCAGACCTTGTGCTGTTGAAGCTAGGAAGGTGAGCAGAGTAAGTCTGATTCCCTGTAAAGACTTCTCTGTTGACACCCACCCCTTGGCGCTCATATGACCGTATGCAGTTGCGAGCGTCGTAAAACCCTCTACTAAAAAAAATTTAAAATGTTGATATTTAGCACATCTGAGTTTCTTAAACGAAAAGTAGAAGACAATTTATTCTTTCTGATTTCAGTGAGATTGAAAAAAATGACTGCCATTTTCAGTTTGAGGAAATGGTCTGATATGGAATAAATCAACAAATATCGGTTCATATGATAAGAAATAAAGAAGTCCACTCTTTTGACCCTGTGTGTTTAAGTTGTATTGTTCAGTGTACAGTTTTCTAGAATGTGCCCATATTTTCATTTATGAAATCAGATACAAAGTTTGCTCAAATAGCCTTGCTTCATTTTTTTTCTTTACTTTTAGTTTGTCATTTGATTGATGATTTTTCTGTAAAACATCTTGGTTTAAAAAAAATTGATCCTTTTCAGCCTTGAACTGGAGGTAGAACCAATCTTTGTGTCAATGGCGCTGTATGATTCACGTGAAAAGAAAAAGGTGAGTGATGATAATTTTGTTTATGTTAGGTAATATGTTAGAATTTTATTTCCTGGTCTTTGTGTCGTCCTGGTCTTTGACGGGTGGATAGAGGTGTCTCTTAATTATTGTTTTTAGTCTCTCAAAAGTCACCTGGATTGTAATAAAAACAGCTCAGTGAGGTCAGCATATTCACCTCTTTCACTTTGCGGGGGCCAAATTTTGTAATTTTTTTGAGAATTGGGCTGATATATGGAAAAAGAAATTGTGCAGGAGGATGACGTGTTCTATATTTACTGTGTAATTGGTCAGCTTCTTGTTCCTGAAAAAAGATAGACAAGTTGAATGTTGGTACAGTTTGTACTGGATATTAATAATCAACTTGTTTAGAAAGAAGTAGACTTTGACATTATAAAATGGCTATTTTAGATATCACATCGTTTGTTTGATGACTATATTTCACAGATCTCAGAGACATTTCATTTTGACCTGAATTCGGAATCTATGAAGCGTCTTTTAAATGGACACATCACTCGTCAGGATGTGTCGACAATGAGTCGGTCGTGCATATTCAGCATTACTTACCCCTCTACAGATGTCTTCTTGGTCATCAAGGTAAGTTGTTTTTGTTTTTTGCTATGAATGTCTGAGTTGTTATTTCAGGGTTTTCCTAGAAAATCTGGAATTTATGTGAACTGTAGAATATTCTTTTCATTTGATTCTCATTATATTATATAATATGGCGTGCTTAAGATCTGGCTTTGTTAACAGTTACAAGTGAGTTGTAAGCTTTTACCCATGAGAATTTGTTTTTGAGAAGTTTACTTGTTAAGGTAAATTGTTGTGTGCACTGGATTTTACTGGGAGTTTTTTTTTAAACCCTAGAAATTTTTTGAGACTTCTGATCATAATCCTGCAAACAATGATAAGTAATTTTAGCCATATGACAGTAAAATTTCGGAATGAATGGTATTTTTAATGTACTTTTTATCTTCTGCTCAGTTGGAAAAAGTGCTTCAACAGGGAGACATCAGCGAGTGTGTTGAGCCATATATGAAGGAAGACAAGGTGAGGGATGGGAATTTTTAAAAAAAGCTTTCTTCTCTCTGAATTTGTACTTTTATAGAAAATTCTCTGAGGTGGTTGGAGGGTGGCACTGATAGGTTAGACTTTTTTCTTTTTCTGTTGTTTTTGTCCGTCTCTTACTTTTTCCTTTACTTTTAATGACTATTAATGCATTAATGTGTCAGTGTGTTTCTCTTTATTCAAATGCTGGAGTTGTTTTTCGCTTCGCTGTAAGGTCTAGGGGCCAATTTTATGTGCCTGGTATTACTATGATTACATAGTGTGAATGCCAGGCCTGGTTTTTGGATGCTGAGTTTGGAAGTTTACAAGTTGGACTGAGAAGTATTATTCCGTCTCAAGAGTACCACTTTTGTCTCACCCACTGTCCACGCTTCAATCTTTCAATCTTTCGGTCCTGTCCTGACTTGTTGATAATATGTTTTACTCTTCAACAGTTTCTGGGGGCAGAGGAGGAGTGGGGGAGGGAGGGGGGGATGTTTGAGTGTCACAATTTTTCTCAGATTTGGTTACGCCTAAGGTTGTCTTTTCTGTAATGTCTTAGTGGAATGTTGGAAGATGATAACCGTGTATGAAAACTTAAATGTACAGAAAGGTAATGAATTTCAGTTCATAAGTTCCTGGTGTAAAAGTGAGAGGGTGAGACAGAATGGTATTAAGCAGTTAAGTATGAAGAATTAATTCAATTGGGCTTTTTAGTATTTTACTATTTTGCTGTGTCAATTTTCAAGTATTCTTGTAGCAAATCCCATCTTTAAACTACTAGACATTAGTCCCCATAAGGACTCTTTGTATTGGAATATTGAAATTTATAAAACTGTTAAGTCATAATTTTTTAATGCTTTGCAGAAGTCTTTGTTCTAATTTTCATGTCTGCGATTGGGTTTTAAAAGATGTCTTTGCAAGAATTTTGGATAATGGTCTGAATCAAACTTTGAGTTGTAATTTTTGTCTTTTTTTGATACACTTCTCATCAGTTTACTATTTCTCTGTGTGTAAGGTTATGTGTAAGGTCTCTGCCTCTGTTTCTCTGCAACTAAATCTCTGCATAATTCCTTATCTCTTGATTTCTTTTGGCTCTTGTCTCTCATGTTTTCCTTTATGGCTGTTAGTTGAGTACTCTGTTAACTTTTAATTGTGAGTCCTTGTTTCGTTTTCTGCAGTCAACAAAAGAAGAGAAGTACAGAGCTCAGGCTGTTCAGTACTGTGAGCGCTTGGGCAAGTACCGTATGCCATTTGCGTGGACAGCCATATACCTGATGAACATCATGACCGGCCAAGGCAGTTTGGAGCGGGAAGGTCGGGGACGAGAAGGTCGCGAAGGTCGTGAGGCCAGCGTGGAAAAGCGCATGAGAGAGGCCAGCATAGACAGGACAACAGAGCACGAGATGCACAGGGCTGCGAGTCTCGGTAGGTGTCGTGTTACTTTGAAGTGACATGGGTTTTAGGTTGAAGTTTATGATTTGTGTATGAAAAAAACAATAACCCCCAAACAAATTGAAATTCAAAGAATAAACCCCCCAGAAGCTGCTAATCTTGGCATGTGATTTTGATTTACAGCGTAGAAATAAAATAAGCTAAAATGGTTCTGCAGAGCTTATTCTCATGCAATACTAAATAATTGTCATTATTTACTTTTTTCCCATCAAGAACACATTTGCTGAAAACACCTTTTCAAATTCGCTATAAAGAACTCAGGTTAAGGTGAAAGAAGGTGGAGAGCCATCTGAACAAGCTATCTACAGCGGCAACTGCCTTTTAGTCTTTGTATTTGTTGTTTTGAAACGACAGACAATTAATGGTCTGAGAAAATACGGGCCTATCAGTACCGGTATCCCATTGATTTCTGTCCTCAAGGGTCAAGGACATTCTATAGCTTTTATGCATGGCTAATCCTGTAATCTGCATGAAAGTCGCAGCAATCCAGAATCATTTTGTGTGTAGGAAAGTGATGTTTTTGGTCTGTGGAATAAAAACGAAAATAGAATATTATTATGTTGGAATCAGGATGTTGTTAGGAGCAGATTTCACTGCTTGAACATATGAACAGGTTTAGCTGAACTTCAGGAGTGGGCAATGATCTGTAAGGAGAAAATAAGTGTTTCTGTGCTTATTTACTATGAAAAAAGTTGTGTTTTAATGCATGGCTTTGATTGCCCTTCCTAAGTGAACCTCAGCCATAATGTCTCACTGTGCCTTCAGAGTATCATCATTAATCAAGCCTTACTAATTATGTGACAAAAAATTGCTTTGAACTATTGCCACAATCTTTCAACCAATCCATGTTGACCGTGCACCAGACAGAGCATTAGGAATTCTGAAACGAATTACTTACCCTTGGTTGGCTTCTTTTTTAAAAATAATTCCGTCCGTTGCCCTTGACCTTTTAGAATTACGTGACAATGGTTGTTGGGACATGAAGTTGGTCTGGTTGTTTCTCACTTTTAGACAGCATTCCTTTGTTGATAAGAGTTGGGCTGTGGGATCACTCAAAGCAAAAGGATATTCTCTTGTATAATTTAGGGGTTTTGGTGCACCTTTCTACCCATTTTTAATTTGAAGCTTGGGTTAACTTGTCTTGCTCAAAGGCACACCCTAGTGATCTCAAATCTAAAAGCTGTGTCACTGACCGTGCGAAACTTTGTCAGAGAGTCCAGGTTAACTGACCTCTTGAACTAAGGATACCCAAAGAAGAAGAAATCCATTCACAGTAAAGATTTTGTTTCTTCATTCTCTCATGAAGGTAACCATTATTTTCAAATAAGTAGAAATAGCACTCTTATGAGAAAGATGTTTTTGAAAACAATGCATTGATTCAGCTTTGACCATTACTATTTTGGTACATGTGGTTGAGGTTTGTTTCTTTGACTACAGATGCTTATTTGTTCTCAAAATGTATTTGTTCCTTTATTACCACAGTGGATTTGATAAAGTTTGGCTCACTGAGTAAATATCAAATGGGCAACTTGCAGCACTTGTATACATATATAGCAAAAGCTTGCGAAACACAATTCAATATTCACCATCATGCTGGGTTTGTGGTGACAGGCTTATGGAGAAATGTAATTCGCATCATGTATTGATAGGAGATTACCATTATTAGGCAGCTTTGCAATATTCTTATAAAATAAGTTTGAATCACATAGATTATTTCTCTTTGCTGAATTCAAGGCTTCTCCCTATGTGTTACGGGACAAAGGTCCTACCTCCCTGATTTTTCTGAAAGGCATGGGATCAGTTATGATGAACATTTTTCACAAAGAGTATCAAATAGTTGACATTTTTCTTTGGTTTCGTACGGTAGCTTTCAGTAAAAAGAATTCTTTTCTTTGAGTCTATAGAGGTATTTTAAATCGGGTTGCTTTTCTTTTAATTGTAAAGAAGTAGGCCTATGGAAGGATGGCGTGTAACTAGGCTGTGGGAGGCTTCTAGATATCATTCTCCACTGGATATTTTTTATCATTAATTTTGTTTCTTATTGTGAATTTTGAAAATAGGATATGGGCTGCTTCTTGACAAAGATATCAACACATAGTTTTGGTTGCTATCCCGAGCATTTAAGAAATCTTGTCTCCATGTAGATGGCACCCAAACTGTTGTTGTTTAGTTCAGCACATCTCCCCATCCCCTGACCCTCCAATCCGCCCCACCACCCATCGTATCTCTTGGTTGAGGTAGGCACACATTGCGAGAAGCCTGGTGACGTAGTGTAGTCAGATAGCCTCTGCCTGTCTCTATCATCTCATTGTGCGTGTGTATGTCTATGTCATCACCCGCTAGATGTCGGTCAGCCGGGTAAGTAGCTTCCCTTCTCATCATGTGTTTCTGACCAGTCTTTTTTCATAATGTCTCAACTCACATTTTTATACCCTCCCATCTAGCTACCTCCATATGATACATTCTCCTCAGTAGAGGCTTTCTTCATTTGTATAATATTACTGCATAGTATTTTAGAGCCACATTTGTTGCAAGAATTTTATTCCAAAATGTTTTTTAAATTCTTTTTCTCTGTTTTAAAACAAAAATAGTATATTTCTTATGTTTTTAGTACATCTGTATGTTTGCTTTTTTATTTGTAGCAATGAACTTAAGTTGAAAGCTCCTGTTCTAGTAGTGAGTTGTTAGATTTGAGAGATGAAGCCAAATGTTGCATGTGACTTTACAGTCTTTTTATTTTTTGGTTGGTATGGAAGTAGATTCATGGGAGAGAAAAGTTGAAGTTGTGTCGGGGGTCGGGATGGTAGAGACAGATTCTACTAAAAAGTCCAGTGAAAAGCATTTATCCTCGTACATGTGTGAGGTTGATTATGCACCAAAGGTTTAAGGTTTATACCAGCTCTCAGAGGTATCTTGCTCTGGCGCACCCGTGTGTCCCCCCCCCCCCCCCCATCCATTTTTTTTTTACTTTGCTGTGTTTCTTTAATTAGGGAGTAACATTAAGGTATCATCAGGCAGAAACACTAAAAAGTTCAATATTTTCTGAGTTCACTTTAGACTTTGGGATGATGCTGGACAAAGGGCTTGTATTTGTGTTGAGTGTGTTCTTTCCTACTGACTGTATGGCATGGATTGAATGGTGTGTTCTGTGTAATCAGTTTGTGTGGAATATTATTATTTGCTAGATGTTTTTTTACTTTATTTTCACTTGTGTGTGGTCAGGGCATGTGTTTACATGTGTGTGTGTGTGTGTGGGTGGGTGGGGGCGCACGTGTTTGTGTGTGTGTGCACGTGTGGGTGAGCACGCATGTGTGTGTGGATGTCTGTGTGTTTGGATGTGTGGATGTCTTTGTGTGTTTGCATGTGGGTGTGTCGCTGTGAGGTACTCACTATTCTACTTGTCGTAATGGTATACAGCTAGAGAGTGAAGGGAGAGAGAGAGTACTAGCTGGTGTACGTACATGAATCGCTGCAGGAATCAGGAAAGACTCGGATTGTATTTTGCCTGACTATCCAGTTTTGTTTGTTTTATCTTATGAATTTATGTGGGGAAAAAAAGGAACTGCATGAATTAGAAATCCCTATAGTTTACTTTAAAAATCCGATACTGGAGACATATATATGAGAGAGTGGGTGGTTTGAGGGCTCTCTTGTGATGCCTTTAGCTTTCATCAGTGTTGCTGTTGTCCATATCAGTTCCTGGCAAGGTCTTGTAGTTGAATGTCAATAGCAACAGCATATTTAATTTTTGGTGAGTGGAATGTGATCTAAGCATGTTTACTATTGTCCTTATCTGTTCCTGGCAAGGTTTGGTTAGCGGGTGGTTGGCGGGTGCTCTGGTGTGGTCTGCTTCTTCTTTCCTATCAAACATCTATCGTCCTTATCTCCCGTTCTTCTTTTTTATGTTTGTTACTCTCTTGTAACACCTCTAATCTTCTGGCGCTCATATGACCTTATGCAGTTGCGAGTGCGTAAAACCTCTACTAAAACAAACAAACAAGGTTTGGTTGTTGAATATCAGTAACAACAACATATTTGATTTAACGTGCTGAGTGAAACTTGATCTGGGTATGTCGGGAACAAAAGATTAAAAATTGTGACAAAGGCTATGCGTAGAGACAGTGAGAAAGATTAAAAAATTGTGACAAAGGCTATGCGTAGAGACAGTGAGGTTTGGCATGTTTCTTTATGTACTGTTTTTGCAAAAGACGTGAATGGGGTGTGTGTTGTGTGTGAAAGGCTGCTTGACGTGTGATCAGAATACACGAGTGCTGTGTGGTGTTGACCATACTTGCGAGAGCTTACTCTGCCGTCGTTTCACTGTGTGGTTTGATGACTTTTGCTTCTGGCTTGTAGTGATAGAGCCATATATATATATATATATATATAAATCTTTTGTTTTTTGAGTTGGAAGTGTGTTTGTTTGTGTGTGTATGCATACATGTGTGTATGAGACACACACTCCTATGCTCACTCATTCATGCATGTACTGGAGAATGGAAAGGTGTGAATGAGATAGAGAGAGAATATGAGAGAGAGAGATAGAGATAGAGAGAGAGAGACATACACACATGGAGACACACACACTCAAACTCCCAGAGGGAGAGAGACCGAGAGAGAGAGAGAGGGGGAGAGAGAGAGAGAGAGAGAGAGAGAGAGAGAATATGAGAGAGAGAGAGAATATGAGAGAGAGAGAGACTCTCTCAAACACAAAGAGAGAGAGAGAGAATATGAGAGAGAGAGAGACTCTCTCAAACACAAAGAGAGAGAGAGAGAGAGAGAGAGAGAGAGAGACATGCACACATGGAGACACACACACTCCAACACAGAGGGAGAGAGACAGAGAGAGAGAGGGGGAGGGGGAGAGAGAGAAAGAGAGAATATGAGAGAGAGAGAATATGAGAGAGAGACTCAGAGAGAGAGAGAGAGAGACACTCTCAAACACAGAGAGAGAGAGAGTATGAGAGAGAGAGAGAGAGACACTCTCAAACACGGAGAGAGAGAGAGACTCAGAGAGAGAGAGAGACTCTCAAACACAGAGAGAGAGAGAGTATGAGAGAGAGAGAGAGACACTCTCAAACACGGAGAGAGAGAGAGACTCAGAGAGAGAGAGAGAGAGACTCAGAGAGAGAGAGAGAGAGATGTTTAGCTGCTAGCTTTCATTGAAAAAGAGAAAACATATATTTTTTGTTTGAATTTTATATCTTTTTTCTGACTACTTTCTTAAGGGACGGTTACTAAATCTGTGTAAATGCCGACACTAACATGCACATTGTTCAAAAACAGGCTTTCACCGGATTATACTCATATTTATACCATTTATACCAGTTGGCATCTTTTCTTACCGGTTTTTGCTCTTTTCGGTATCTAATCCCTTTGGGTACTGTAGAACAGTGTTATCATTCATTTAGTAATTGTGGATGAGGGAAGGATGTATCTCTGTGTATATCCATATATGTATGCTGGTGATGCATGTTTTTTTTTGTCATGACTTTTTCAATTAAAGTTATTGTTTTTTCTTTAGAATGGGATGATTGTTGTTAATGAAATGTTAAAACCTATTTTTTTTGTTTTGTCAATGACATTTTGGTTAGTAAAGATTAAAAACAAAAGAGTTGCACAATTTCTTATGCTGTAAGATATACGGATACTGAACAGGGCAATTTTGTATATTTTATTCTTGGGCACTGTGTATAAGCATCAGCAGTACACACAAAAAATGCTCATGATCAACTTTCATAAGGGTCTTTTCATAATTCTTTGGTGTTGAGACAAATATTTAAGGTTTTAAAAAAAATTTGATTTAGTGTCTGATTACTTATGCTTTCCACTGCTGTTGTCGAATTATTCTTAATGAAGTTTGTATGTTGAGATTATAACAGATAGTAAAAATGAAATTAAGGAGAGCTCTCAATTGGAGTACAGAGGGTATAGTAACAGAGGACATTAAGTTTTGAGCTGGAAGTGTGGCATTATCCAGCTTTCATGGAGATTTTCAAGTTGAAGACCTAAAAAGGTCTGGTTACCATCGAATATATTCATGTTCAGATGTATAAGTGACAAATAATAGTGTATTCTTTGCTTTATAGAATAGTCGATGGCTTCTGTCTGTCCGACTCAGAGAGAGAGTGAAAATGAGTTTTGCATAAAGCTCTCACCATTTTCAACAAGTTTATTGGAAGCTCTTATTGTTTGAGCATTTCTGTAGTTGTAGTGTTTTGCACTTTTCTCATCATTTGAGAGTTGAGGAATGATATGAAGGGATGTATGTCTTGATTAGTGAGTCCTTTATTGTGTTCTTTATGGAAAGAGATTATTGGACTGATATTTTTATTAATGAGTGAATAATGAAATGGATTGGATTATTACCTAATTGATTGGTCAATATATAAAATGATACTAGTGGTAGAAAGTGTGTGTGTGTGTATGTGGGGGGGGGGGGGGTATTATTTTTATCGCCCAGGTTATGGACCAAAATACTCACTTTGACTGTATAAATGCAGTGTACCCGCTGCTCACACACACAAAAAAGACTTTCTTTGTTTCTTTAGGTGACAGCCCGTTTCTCAGCTGATGATTTAACTTAAAAAAAATAAGTACTTACTTCATTTCATAGATAAGAATATTAGAGTTTTTTAATGCATTTTTTTTCTCTCTCATTTTGCCTTCCTTGTACAGATCGCAGGATGGGCTCCAGTGGCAGCCAGTACGAGAGTTTCCGCAAGCGCTCTAAGGATGACATGCTGGCAGGCCGGCGTGGGTCCATTGACCGAGGGCGCAGTGGGTATGAGAAGTTCCGTAGCAGGTCCCCAGAGAACTACAACAGTGCCAGCATGGACAATTTTCATCCTGTTACATTGACGGTCAAGAGCTTTTTTAAGCAGGTGATGCTCGTGGTTTATTACAACCTTTTTGTTGGTCTCAATTTAAAAACTGATTCGGCAATCATGGTCATTTTGAAGATTACTGAAGAGGGTGTATAGTTGATGAGTCATGTACAAGTAGAACTGGATATGAAGAAAATAAATTAATAGATCATGTAAAAGAATTGGGTAATCCAGGTTTTAGTTTGAAACATTTTTCTGTAAATGATTTTGTATTCAACTGATAGATGAGGGTAGAGTTCGAACTGATGAAAAGTTTTAAAATTTAGAAACATTTTTTTTTTATATTGCCCATTTTCTTGTCAATGTGCTGGATTCATCACCAGCTTACTTTGTGTTGAAATAAATTAAATCCAGTTTTTCAAAGAAAATCGACTCTGTTCTAATTTTATGGAGTCTGCCGTGTGCAATGGCCAATTTCCGTACTAAATGCGGAGTTAACAACTGACAGATTCCTGGTAAACTAGGGACATAATCAGTCGAGATTAACTCAAGCGTAGCATTTTTCTCTACCCCGGCTTTTGTGGTGTAAGGGGGAAGCTCTTCACTTTTGAGTGTAAATGGCGTGAGTTTGATTCCCAATTAGGGAGGTTCTTTTTTAAAATTGAGAATCTCCCGTTTGTCTTCTGGGATGCTCTATTCATCAGCCTATGTTGACCCTGACTGGTTGGGATAAAGAATCTGGCCTCCTAATTGATTTAGATTATGTCTATGAGGGCATATAAGACAAGACATTCGCAATATCTATTACAGGAGGGTGTCAAGCTCAGTGATGAGGACCTGTACAAGTTTCTGGCAGATCTGAAGCGGCCGACGTCTGTACTCAAGAAAGTCAAGTGTATACCTGGTGAGAGACTAAACATTCATCAGCAGCAAAATGTCACTGCATTTCCATTTTTTCTAGGATTTGATTTTTTTCAATGATAGAAGTGCAAAATGTTCTTGAAATAATGTATTACTTCTGAAAGGAAATTTAGCACTCCTTTTTATGCCTGTGTTGTCAACACATCTATTTATTTTACTCTTTGGAGGGTCCCAGGAGATTTTACTACTTCTGTTTGATACACCCCTAGTCTTCAAGCAGGTACTGAATTTCATGCATTGGGTTAGAAATGGCCAAGACTGAGATTTAGAAACCCAATTGTAATATTTCTGACTCACAGAGCATATGGCTGAACATTATGTGTAAATACAATGAGGCCCAAGATAAAAAAGAAATGTCCTTTAAATCTTTAGTCCCTTTATAGGATGTCAGTAAAGAAACAGAAATCAGAGAGTTTACGACTGATACATCAATATGGCATGCTGTACAGTGTTCTTTGTTGGTAGTCAAATTTATCCGGTGGTATTTGTGGTAGTTTAGAAATATTTTTTGTGAATAGAAATTATGGATAATTTACTGGCTCAGCAGTAGGCTGTAGTTGTGATTGTCAAAGATAACTGTTGTGCTGATAATGTGAAAGGAATCTTATTTGAATGGAGTAATTTTATTTTTTATTTTAGTAGCGCCTACGAAAAAGTCTGTCACGTTTCATCTGTTAGTTCAAACTGTAAGAGGGTAGATTTATTACACACTCATTTTTCTCTTCCTTATTAGATGATAATTACATAATACTGATAGTAATAGTAATAATAGTGATAGTAACAATGATAATAGTAATGTTGATGATAATAATAATGATGATAATAATATTAATAATGAGGATGATGATAATAATTATTGATTTATTTGCTTTTAGGATGCTTGGATGTCCTCACGAGATATGCAGCTGTATTCTGTTAACTAATTAACCATGTAAAGAATTATTTTCATGTTTTCAAGTCTCATACTTGACCACTCCGGATTCTGAACTTCATTGTTATGTTTATGCGTGATGCTGACTTTTCATTCAACTGACCACTTGCGTTGGTGGTTGGCAGGTGCTCTGTTGTGGCTTGCTTCTTTTGTCCCACAAACGTTTATGTTCCTTATCTCTCCTCTTTCTTTTTTGTGTTTGTTACATTCTTGTAACACCTCTAGTCTTTGGCACTTATATGACCTAAGTGTTGCAAGTGCCGTGAAACTCTTACTAAAACAAGACATGACCGCTTACACTCCTCAGTGATGCTCAAACTGGACATCTCTCCTTGTCCGGAGGAGCCGAAATTCACTCTGACCCCTGAACTGCTGCGAGTTGAACCGTACCCAGATGATTCAGGCCGACCGACCAAAGAAGTACTAGAGTTCCCGTCTAGAGAAGTCTTTGTTCCGTATACTATATACAGGTACAATTTATGGGAAGAAAAAAATTAGCATACAACTTGTGTCTCAGATAACTCTGGGAAAATAGAAGGCAAAAGAAGTTGTGGTAGACCAAGAGCAATTTGCATTGAGAATCTGACCAGATAGATGGATGGCGGGGAAAGGCCAACTTATACAGTTTTTTAATAGAGCTTCCAAGGAAAGAAAGAAATGGCATGCCATGATAACCAGTGTCTGCTTCAGGTCTGACACTTCATAATGGTATAAATATTTTGTATGTTCTGTTATTTTCTGTGTAATAGTCGTTCAGTGTGTGTATGTATGTATCATAGAGAATTGTCATTGTGAATAAATTGAACTGTAAATTTCTTGTGTTGAGGCTATATACAACTTATATATTTTGTCATTTTGCATAATAGGGGGCACTTAGTATTTTTCTTATGTGGTGTGCTTTTCTTGAGAACAATGTTCTGGTCCAGTAAGTCTGACATAATTTGTTTCTCTCAATTATGAATGTTACGAAGACCAAGGGGACTAAAGAAGAACTGTGTATTATCGTTTGTGAGGCAGCGTGGTGGAATCAGGCTCTCGTCAATTTTTGGGCATGTAGAGTTATTGGTAACATCGTAAAGCTTGTTCACTTTTCTTTAATTGGATGAAAAAAATATACATTTATCTTGAATACAAGTGGAGATATTTGCGAAAGAAGGAGGTGGGGGTCACTTGTTTTCAGAGGTAAAATTAGTGAAAAAATGGCCGCCAAAGATTAGTTATTTCCTTGGCTTAAGAGTCCGTGGCAACTGAAAGTTTACATTTATTGTACCTTTAATCAGCGTTTTTCAGAAAAATCCACACAAAAATGAGCTCTTTAGTGGGCATGAAAGGTGTTGAGCCAAAAAAACGAAAATTTGACAAAAATTCACAAACCTGTTTTCTTCACTTTGATTATTTTGAGGAGAGCCTGATTCCACCACACTGCCTCACATGTAAGTGCTTTCCCACACTTTTTGCACTTTGTTTGATTTGTGGACTTGGGCTCTTAGCTCTGCAGTAGATTTCACATTTTGGACATCTTTCCTCCTGTTGTTCAGAAACTGAGTTTTCTGTAGTTTCTGTGTGTCAGTTTTGTCTTGTCCTTACACAGGGTTCCCGCGGCCTCCTTGAATTCAAGGAGTCCTTGAAAACTGCTTGAATTTGCATTCAAGGAAAAATCTCCTTGAAAACTCCTTAAATTTTGCCAGATCGGACAGGAACACGTGTACAGGGTGACTGCCAGGCTCCGGGAATCCCGGGGGCCCCTGGAATTACCCTCGAATTTGAAAAAAAAACCCCGCCGAGATCCGGAATGCAACGGTAATTTGAAGAAATCTGTAAATTGCCCCGTGAAAGACCCGAGGAAATACTTAAAAGTTATCGAATATTTGAAAATCAAATCCGATAACGTCTTTGAGTTCATTTTTGCCGGTCGCGATTGTGATATAATATTTATTCGGCCTTTCCCGGCCTGAGAGTACGTTACACGCGCACATGCGGTAATGGCGGCAACAAGTGGAAGTATGTGCGATACCGGAGCTCGATCTGGAAAATCAAGATCTGCTTTCGCTTTCGTTACCACCCAGAAATTTGCCGGTAGGGCCTATAGTAGTCTGACAACGCCACATTTGTAACATGCAGGCTCTGCATTACAAACGCTGTGTCGCCATGAAAATAAATCGTTTGTCCTGTGCTGTCACCTGTGTGAAAAAAACAAAAGAAAAAGAAAGTTATACAAGCGTTTTGTCGGGCTCGCCATCGTGACCGGTCATTGAACCTGTGCGTTTTCGTCACATCGTGAGTATCGGCGATGGTTGAGGTCACCAAAGTTCATGCAAAGTTTGAGCGCTGCGAAGTATAGGACTCGAGAATGGGGGGATTATTGATTTTTTTTAAAAGACGCACGCCGGGGGGGGGGGGGGGGGTGTTGAAGGCAACGCCGGATAACAAAAAAACAACAACTGAACTTGGAAGTTGGTAGATCTCTAGATCTCTCTGCAAAGGGCGCGTTGGTGCACAGTCCTTGTGTGGAATCGGGATCCATCTTACTCCAACCGTCTAAGCCGTGTTCTTTTTACTAAAGGGTTCCGGTTTCATTGCGTAGGTGATAGTAAATTATATGCATTGTATATTTTAGCTTTCTGTTCAAGATTCGCAGATTTTCAGTGTCACTGCATCTTGCCCCCCGACAGTTCTTACACCTCTCGCTCTGAATAGGTCTACTTGAGCCATTCATGTTATTACTCTACTTTGAGCTGGAGTAATAATTTTTGTCTTTCACGTTTATTATATAAACCTTGACACCCCAACTGGTTCTTAACAGTGGATATTCTAGGCCTTTTCTCAGGCTCAAAGCAAGATTCATTTTTATATAGTTTATATATTATAAGCGAATAGGATGAGGGGAAAATATAAATAAGTTAGAACAGACTGAAAAACCTAAGTCACAGTATCCCAGTGCCACACTGACATCATGTTGTTGACTGGATTCAATGTACCTACATGCGTGTGTGTGTATATATTATATATAATGTATAAATGGAGCATGCACTGTCGTTGTTATGTAACATGCCCCTGGAGAATGGGTGAGACACCCCCCCCCCCCTTGAAAATTGAGAAGCCGGGTTGGCAGTCACCCTGGGAACAGTTTTTCTAGGAAAATCGAAACTATGAATATGATATGATTCCTTTCGGACAAGTGTGTTTTTAAAAAAATAGGCTTTCGTCATGAATTTCTTGACCAAATCTCCTTGAATTTTAACAATTTCTCCTTGATACCTCCTTGAAAACTCCTTGAATTTGATGGGAAGTTCATGGCAGGAACCCTGCTTACACCAAGTGGCCATTGCTGTGACCAAATGCTTCTCTTTACCCTAGCTACACTGGCACAATGTGGATGTTGTTATGGTAACTTCATGTAGACTTTTAGTCACGTAGACTATGAGTCCTACATGACTAAGTGAAACAATATTTGTATTGATCACTGCAATATCTCCTCTAACATGACACTTTATGACTTTATTTTTCTTCAGGAATCTTCTGTATGTCTATCCGAAGAGCTTGAATTTTGCAAATCGCCAAGGCTCAGCTCGTAACCTGGCTGTCAAAGTGCAGTTTCTCAGTGGAGAGGATGAAAACTTTGCCCTGCCTGTAAGTTCCTTCTCTGGAAAAGAGCTTGATTTTTAATGTTTTCATTTGGTTTTTGTCTGAAGTCTTCAATGTTAGATCCCATAATTTGATAACAATTGTTTGGGGGTTTTTTTCGGCTTAGAATGTATTGAAGTCTAGCCATCAAGCTGTAAATCATTAATTGTCACTTCAAAATGCTGGGATTCTGAAAACTCTGATGGCACCCCCCTGGGCAGTGCTACTGACTGAAGTGTCTTAAGGCCATTCCTAAAAGGGGGACATTAACCATGTTCTTATGCACAGTAGAATTGTAATTGTAAATGGGCTAATTCATCAATGTTATGCTCATAACTGTACCTGAACTGCAACAGGGAACTGCTGCTTTTTCTTTCGTAATCCTTACTATCCTCATTTTTCTTCTACTTCTTTTGTATGTTTGTCATACTCTTGTGACCCGCTATTTCTGGGGTGCCTTGATAGTCGAAGCAGACTTTGTGCTGCTAAAGCTAGAGAGGTGAGCAGAGTAAGCCTGATTCCCTGTAAGGACTTCTCTGTTGACATCCACCCCTTGGGGCTCATATAACCTTACGCAGTTGCGAGTGACGTAAAATCTCTACTAAAACTAAAACTGAAAAATAAGAAAGATGTGCATCAGAGAGACTATGGGACAGATTTATGATTCAATGAAAAGAAATGTGTATAAGATATTGAAGTCTGTGAAAATCAAAACTTTTTTGAGTTCTGTATCATAACTTCTCTTCCCGTGTGTTATTCAGATAATCTTTGGAAAGTCCAGCTGTCCTGAGTTTACAAAAGAGGCCCTTGCTGCAGTGACTTATCACAACAAGTAAGTGTTGACTAACTTCAGTCTTGTCTGCAGCTGGTTGGAGTGAATCACTTGTAGGTCCTAACTCTTTCTTCTCTTTAGTTGTCTCTATCGGTCTTATTCTCTCCTAGCACTAAATAACCTTTATTTTGTTAATGTGCTTGTCGTTACTTATAACTCAGACTGTGTATATATGTGAGGCAGCGTGGTGGAATCAGGCTCTCGTCAATTTTTGGGCATGTTGAGTTATTGGTATCATCGTAAAGTTTGTTCACTTGTGTTTATTTGGATGAAAAAAGTATCCATTTATCTTGAATACAAGTTGAGATATTTACGAAAGAAGGAGGTGGGGGTCACCTGTTTTCAGAAGTAAAATTAGTGAGAAAACAGCCACTAAAGGTTAGTTATTTCCTTAGCTTAAGAGTCCATGGTAACTAAAAATTTACATTTTCTGTGTCTTTAATCAGCATTTTTCAGAAAAATCCACACAGGAAAGAGTTCTTTAATGGACATGAAAGGTGTTGAGCCAAAAAACAAAAAATTAGTAAAAATTCATAAACCTGCGGAAAAATGTGGAAGACATACATGTACATTGTATATCAAAGCAAACTTGAGTGGATGATTGGTGGGTGTTTTCGTGGGTTTTGCTCCTTCTTTCTTATCAAACATCTGTCATCCTTGTCTCTCCCCCTTCTTTCTTACCAAACATCTGTCATCCTTGTCTCTCCTCCTTCTTTCTTACCAAACATCTGTCGTCCTTGTCTCTCCTCCTTCTTTCTTACCAAACATCTGTCATCCTTGTCTCTCCTCCTTCTCCTCTTTGTATGTTACTCTCTAGCAACTTCTCTAATCTTTGGCACTTATATGGCATGTTTCTGTTGCCAGTGCCATAACTGAAATTAAACTAAAACAGCAAATTTGAAAGTGAAAGGAACGTTATTTAGTTCTTGGATACTAGTTGCTGTTGCCAGCCGTGTAGAAAGGCTACTTGAGGACAGCTTTTCTTTGTCCTGTGGTTCGGTAGGCGAAGGCTCAAAACAAAAGATTTATGGAACGATGTTGATGTTTAAAAGAAAATTTCAATCTTTCATTTTGAACAAATTTGTGTTTTAACAAATTCTGTCTGTTATGTTGGGGTTTTTTTCTTTCTTTTTTTTTGGTCAAAGGTGAAGCTTGTATTGTTTGGCTGATTATGTGCACAAAACATTGTGCTCTGGCTCTATGTATTTTATGGAAACATTTTATCCACATGCAATAGAATGCTTGGGCTCTCAAAGCCAAGGGTAGGATGGAGGGAGAAAAAGACAAAGAGGGAGGGGGAGAAAGTAATAGTAGGAAGCAGAGAGAGACACAGAGAGAGAAAGAGAGAGGGAAAGGGAGAGCGAGAGACGAAGGGATGGAGATATATGTTTGGATCTGGGTTTTCTACTGCCTCATTTCTTGTGTGACTTTCTTCAGGTCTCCTGACTTCTACGAGGAGGTGAAGATCAAACTGCCAGCCCGGCTCAGTGACAGTCATCACCTGTTCTTTACCTTCTACCACATCAGTTGTCAGGTCAAAAAGAATGAACCCACTCCCACAGAGGTGCCTGTTGGATATACGGTCAGTGGCTAGTAGTAACAGTGTGTATGATCCAGTTGATGATAAATAGGTCTTCTTCTTCTTCTTCTTTTTCTTCTTTTTCCCCTTCTCCTTCTTCTTCTTCTTCTTCTTCTTCTTCTTCTTCTTCTTCTTCTTCTTCTTCTTCTTCTTCTTCTTCTTCTTCTTCTTCTTCTTCTTCTTCTTCTCCTTCTCCTTCTCCTCCTTCTCCTTCTCCTCCTTCTTCTTCTCCTCCTCCTCCTCCTCCTTTTCCTCCTTTTCCTCCTCCTCCTCCTCCCCCTCCTCCTCCCCCTCCTCCTCCTCAACAATCATGACTGGTAGGGATAAAGCAGCCTTTGTCCTGTATGATCTAACTGTAGTTGATGGAGGTGTAAAACGCCTACATTTTTATTTTTTCAAAGAAATTTATTTGATCAGATTATGTTCTGATGTGGCTATTATTTATGTACCAAGTTTCCAGTGAAATGTTGCCATTATCTTGTGCCATTTTGCCGTGAACTACACTGATTTATAAGATGTGACAGTATAGGTCAGGTTTTTAAAAAAGACATACTGTGGGATGAACTATTTCAGGGAATAAATTGGCTCATGAAAGCTTGTCTTACATTTAATTGTGAAACATTATTACATGTGTACTTTATGGTGGCTAAGATATTTCAGGGAATTAATTGGACCAAGAAAGCTTGTCTTAGATTTGATTGTGAAACATTACTACTTTACAGAAGCTGGAATATTTCAGGCAATGGATTGACTTAATAAACTATTTGAGGGATTGAACTGACTTTAAAAAATATTTGAGGGAATGAATTGGCTTATGAAAGCTTGTCTTAGATTTAATTGTGAAATGTTATTACTCGACAGTGGCTTCCTTTGTACCGAGACGGCCGGCTGGTTAGCGGAGAGTTTAACCTTCCAGTGTCTGTGGAGCGACCGTCCACAAACTACTCGCTGCACAACCCAGATGTAAGAATTACTGTTTCCTGAGAGCACACTTTGTTTGCTGTTGCCGTTTGTTCCTTTTTCGAAGATGGGCATCTTCGGGGACTTTTATCGAGTTCTTTTTTTTTTTTTCATTAAGACTGAAAAAAACTCAGATTAATAATGTATTTGTTTTACCCTAATTTAAGTTCAATTGTGTGGTATTTTGCTCCAGATATGAAAGCTATGGATTGTTTAATAAATATTCTTATTTTGAATGGTGTGTTTATCTCATCAACTACAGCTTTAAACTGAACTGTATATTTATGATAGAAAGATAGACTGACTGACAGATGAGTCAAAACAAAGGTGCCAAGATCAATAAAATGATGAGTAAAAAGATTTTTTACTTTTACTGAGTGTTTAGCAAAATGCTATGCTTGGTAGGGTTGTCAAATACAACAATCTTTTTTGGTAGTTTAAGGGTGCCTCTGGTATGTCTTACCTCAGTCAATTACATAACCTGTTGTATTGCTCCCCCCTCCCCCTCCCAAATCACCAAATGTCTGTTATTGTACTTTTGTTCTTCCTCTTACTGCAATGCTTTTTGTTGGGTTTGTTTTTTTCAGGTTCAGATCCCGACCATGAAGTGGGTAGACAACCACAAAGGTGTTTTCTCAGTGGCTCTAAAGGCAGAGTCTTCTGTGTTCCCACAGGTATGTCAGGCCGTCACTTTTCTTCTAGTCTGGGGAGTTTTGGAAGTCTGTTTAGTGTGTTAGTAGAGGTTTTACGGCACTCGCAACTGCATAAGGTCATATGAGCACCAGAAGATTAGAGCTGTTACAAGAGAGTAACAAACATAAAAAAGAAGAAGGAGAGAAAAGGACGATAGATGTTTGATAGGAAAGAAGAAGCAAACCACACCAGAGCACCCACCAACTACCCACTTGGAAGTCTAGATCATTCTGGGGTTTGTCGTTTTGTTTTTTAGTTTAGTGTGTGATTTATAATTGGAGATTGAAACTTTTTTTTGGTTTGATTTTTTATACAGTTGTGGATTTAAAAATTGTTTCTAATACTGCTCTTCAACTGAATCTTTGTGGAGAATTTTTGGATGTTTTGGCAAGGTACAGTGGATCCTGCTGTAACAACCATCTATACAAAACAACTGTACAAACGACCACTTCCCACTTCCCCCAGCGTTTTTACCATTTTGTAATGACACTGTCGAAGAAGACCACATGACTAAGATGACCACTTTTCTCCTCGACAGGTGGTAATTGTCTTGGACAGTTTCGACTACTTCTTCATCTACTCATGGTCTTGGGGTTTTTTTTTATTCCTCTTTAGGATGAGCACATTGACAGGTTCATGAATCTCTACACCTGGGTACAAGAGCAGAAAATTCCGTCTCGCATGAATGAGATGGCCTTTGAAAATGAACTTAAGCGCAGTATCATGGACATTGACAATGCGAAGGGAGAGAACCTGGTGCAGTTTCTGCCCTTGATCCTTGACAAGCTCATCGCATTGATGGTTCGGCCTCCCGTCATTGGGGGCAATGTGGGTATGTAGAATTCTATCCTTCACCAACTGCATGGCAGTGCAGTTTTATATTAATTACACTCAGAGGTCCACCATCCTGTCTTATATATTTATTACACTCGGAGGTCCACCGTCCTGTTTTATATTTATTACACTCAAGGGTCCACCGTTCAGTTTCATGTATTTATTATACTCAGAGGTCCACCATCCAGTTTTATATATAATTACCTTCAAAGTCCACTGTCCAGT